AGAAAAGGACGAGTTACACTGCTGTAGGGCAACAGAAGGATGAGTCCTACATAGACTTTGTGTTTATGTTTAGAGGATGCAGTGAGCAAAAGTGTCAGAAATGCACAGTTAGTGGAAGCTCCAATTCACTATCTTTTGATTTTTCTAATGAAGAGTGTAAAAATGACTTATGATTCTACAGGGAACAAGGCACACTTTTAGATTATCTCAAAATATGCAGCAATGTAGGAACAGATGAATACAGGGCTGACCTCACAGCAATTGCTTTAGCAAATTACACTAGCCACAAATGGAAATGCTTTCGTTGTGGGAAGATAGGTCATTTTCACAGAGAGTGCAGGCCAATCATCCGGGATTGGAAAAGTGAGCTGTGGCCTGCACCAGAGCAGGAGCCAGGCCCATCGAGATCAGGTTTAAAAGAACCAGGACTTTGCCCCCACTGTAGGAAGGGAACTCATTGGGCCAGTCAATGTGGCTCAAGATTCAATGGTAATAGCTTTCCATTACCAAATGCTTCCCAGGAGGGAAATAGAGAAAGAAACTTGATCCAGGACCCACCCAGTAGAGGACAGAAGGCAGAGATTCTGCCTAATCCAGCAAAAGAGTTTTTAAACCACACAGCAGGAGAACAGACCTAACCAAACTTGCAAAAGCCCATGCTCCGATGGACCAGTGATATTGTCAGGGGCTGGGTTACCCTGACAGCACAGCAGCAACCTGATCAACTGACTGGAAGACATCCATATGTGTTCCCTTTCTAAAAAATTGTGATCCAACAGAAATGCAGGAATAATAAAACACTATCACAAATATCACACAAAAGTAAAATTTTGCTAAGGATATTTCAAAAACAGTTGCAGCAGTCTATCAGTAGAAAGTTGCTAAACGTCCAAGCAGGATTAATGCAGGAATGTGGAAGGAGGAATATCCTTGCTGATGTCAGACAGCTCTTGGTTGAAAGCAGAGAATATCAGAAGGATGTTTAGTTTGCTTGTTTGTTTATCTTGACAATACAAAATCATTTGACTGTGTGGACTACAACAAACTGTGGATAACATTTAGTAGAATGGAAATTCCGTGACACATAATGGTGCTTATGCAGAACTCATAGTTATGCTAATAGGCACTAAATGGAAAGGAAAAGAATGAGGATTTAAAATCAGGAGAGATGTTTGTCAGGTGGTATCATTTCATGACATATTTATCTGGAACAAATAATCCAAGAAGCTGAGTAATATGAAGAATGAGGCATCAATATTGGAGGATGGTTCATCAACAACCTGCAATATGCAGGTGGCACAGCCTCATTGTTGGAAGAATAGAATTGGAAGCATTTACTGACAAAGATACAAAACCACAGAATTCAGTATGGATCACATGTCACCATAAAGAAAACAAAAACCTTCACAGTTGAACCAATAAGCCATATCAGGATCAATAGACAAAAGATTTGAAGTGGCAAAGATATCATTTTACTTGGATCCACAATCAATGCCCATGAA